TAACATTCATTGCTTCCTGCAAAGAATCCTGGGACCTGTAGTTTGCCCAATGCAGAGCTATTCATTTTTATGCAATTATGTTATGTATCTTTGATTTAAGCCTGCTAATTGTATTTATATTTTTTATGTCAATTTGTTTTTGACATTTTAAAAATCTTTTATTAAGATGCACCAGAATTCAGTTAACTTAAAAAAATTGAAAATAATACAAATAGAAAGGAAAGGAGGGTGGGAAGCAGATATAGATACAAATCAATTTGTTGTAAAACCAGAGAAAAAGCAATAGCATTCCATTTGATGAAGGTGTTCAAAAGGAGCCAGTATTTTTAATGAATATTTTGTTTTAAGTAAACATCATGCTGATTATTATTCTTATTATTATTATTATAAATCTGGCTGAACATTGTGTAACAAACAGCAAAAATCTCTGCAACTTCTTAAGAAATACATTGAGAGAATATAATTCAGGGCGTGGGGATAGAATTCAGAAGGCAAGGGATGAAGGTGACAGGTGTATACCATTCAGAGGAAAATAAGATTAAGAGGATGCAGAACAGGCCTTAAGGAAGACAAAGAATAGTTGTCCTCCTTTGGCACACAGCAGACTTCGGGAGTCACAAGAACAGATTTAGATTAAGTGTTACAGGGGGAAATACTTTCTTCAGTGAAAGTAAAGAAGCTCCATGTGCTGTGCTGTGTTGGCAGCATTCTGTATAAAAAGCAGAGAAATGTCCCAGTACAGTAAACTGGATTGCCTGTGTCTTAGAGCAAATTTGAAATTAGGCCTCTGTATGTGTGACATGGTGGGGGCCCACTGTGGTGCAATGATCAGAGTGCTGAATTTGGACTGGGGAGGGAGGAAGATCTGCATTCAAATTCCTGCTAGGCCATAAATGTGCAAATGGTCAGTCACTAGTTTTCAGAATAAGCCACATTACGTGGCTGCTGAAAGGATAAAATGGAAAGGTGAAGACCCGTAAATGCTTTCTTGAGTTCCTTGGAGGAAAGACGGGATATAAAAGCAATAAATAACCATCATAGACGTCCATTCCATACACAGAACTACAAGAAGATCAAGGGAGTGAATTTCTAACAGTTGAAGTAACTCTAGCCAAGGTTTTGCTTGGGTCCATTTTTTCTCTTTTACCCACCCCTCAAGCTAGTTCTGCTGAGGCAGCCATGAAAGATAATGGTTGGCTTGTTTCTATTACATACCGACTTCCGCTGCATTGCTTGATAAGGGCATTTGGATCAAAAAATGGAGTCATATTAGTCTTGCCATGGGCTGATGATTATCCGCTTGTGGGAACACAGAGGTGGGTTTTTGCACTGGTGTTATGAAATGTGCCCCCTGCCTAAATATGAGAGACCCAACCTATATTGGGTTCTGGTTCCTCTTGGCAGAGAGGTGAAAAGGAACGAAATTGAGATTTTTCTCCCATTACTGCTGCCAATGGTACAGGAAGAGAAATACGTAAGCCAGCTTGGTGACCACTGTAGGCATCTTTGGGAGTGATTGACAGCTCCCAAGGCCTGCCACTCAAGGGTTTAGGGCCTGGGAGCAGGATACAGGACAACTTTGGGGACAATTTGTCTCACCCCTCAGAATTTTAGGGCCCTGATGGGTGGCGATGCATTTAGGGTTTGGGGTAGGAGGCATTGCTTCCTCTTATCCTAGATGGGGCTGGTCGCTCTACAGCTGCAGGTGTTCCCCTGGACTTTGGTTATTCAGCCTATGGCTTTCCCTCTGCAGTCTCTGTTTATGATTGAATTGAAATGATGACACATAGTTCAACCCAGCCATTGGTGTCAGTGCTTTTATTTGCCACAAATAAGTCCCCACTAAGTTGATTGGGGCTCAATTCTAGGTAAGTGACTACAGACTTCAACCCAAACCACATGCATACTGTTTAGCAGAAGGCAGAGCTGAGCTGCTAGGGTCAAGCTCTGAAAACATAACAGTGAGATTCAGAATCTCATTTGTGTATAGAGCAGCTACTGCTAAACTTAGTTGAATATTCATGATAGAATTACTTAATGAGCATGCTAACAAGTTAACGATAACTGAAGTGTGACCATTTTTTAATCTCATACTAATAATAATAATAAAAAAGTTAAGTGGCAATTTTAGAATCCTGTTCAGCTCCTTAATAGCATTTTAATTTAAATGACAATTTCCAATAATGTCCTGTCAAGACCTTTAAACAGGAATTATCACACATGCATATAATCACAGCTAGTTGATCAATGACAGTCAACTCAATTACATACTAAGGATTCTGCCCTGTTACACAAAAGTGTCATTTGAGGGGACTGGCATAAGTACATGCATTCTTCATTGCTAATTGCAATGTCTGTGCAGCTGCTTCCTGCTCTGGGTTATCTCTGCTCCCCCACAGCTGCATGAACTCGGCATAGGTGAGAACTAAATGTTGTACTAACCTTTGTTTTAGATTGCATATGTGTCCATACCAAGGGTGCAGAAAAACTGGCCATGAAGCTTACTACCAGGCTTCCTCAACCTCAGCCCTCCAGATGTTTTTGGCCTACAACTCCCATGATCCCTAGCTAGCAGGATCAGTGGTCAGGGATGATGGGAACTGTAGTCTCAAAACATCTGGAGGACCAAGGTTGAGGAAGCCTGCTTAATATACAATACCAAAAAATGAGAGAGGAAATGAATGTGTGTGTGTGTGTGTGTGTGTGTGTGAGACAGAGAGAGAGAGAGAGAGAGAGAAGGGGATGCATAGTGATAGCCATGCTCAGTGTCGTCCCATTGAAGTAAATAGAATTGATTCCATGGATTTCAGTAAACACAGTCAGCATGACATTATAACATAGATTACATCTAATAAACAGGTATCACCATGCTTCAGTTCACTTGGCCACCAACAGGAGGCACTGTCAACAGTGTGATGAAAGGTAGTGGGTGGGCAGCCCAGGTGATCCGAACCTCCAGGCTGGCCGGCACTACTACTGGCTGCCTTCCTTTTCCACAGCCACCCTCTGAATCTGTTGTTGTCTTTGATTACCATGAACAGAGGCAGGAGGAGCAGTTTGAGATGAGGAAGTCACACAGAAGGTCAAGCCGACTGGCCTTGGGCTATGCAGTGATGGCATGAGGTGGAAAGGGGAAGCAGTAATCTTCCCCTCACTGATCCTGTCATCCTCCAGCGTCTGAGGTTGAAAGGGTCCACACATGGTCCGATCTGCAAGCCTTCCAACACTCCCCCTGCAACCAATACCAATGACGGCCGGGTGGGGGAGACAATGGGAAGAAAGTCTTTCTCCCTTCCATTCCACCCCGACTCCTGCTGCCGCCACCACTGCAAGAGAAGCAAGCCGAAAAAGCCTGTGCACAGAGACAGAGAGAGGGACACAAAAGAGGCTTTGCCCCTTGCTTGTTCCACTTGCCAAAACCTCTGTTCCACTTCCACAACAACCCCTAAAACATTCTCCTTCCCACTCCATGCAACTACTAATGCCCCCTTTCAACTTCTCATCCTTGTTTCTGAAGCTGCTTCTCTCATCTATTCTACATCTATTTTAAGCTGCATTTTAAACTGTATTCTAACTTATATTTTAATCAACTGTTTTTGTTGGGGAGGGCGGGGTATAAATGAAAATTTATTATTATTATTATTATTATTATTATTACAGCTGCTTGAGCCCCAGCCAATATGGCCAATGATGGGATTTGTAGTCCGGCAACATATGGAGGACCAAAGGTTAGCCTCCTCCCTTTTGCATCATCTACCCACCTGCATTACAAAATTCTCCTTTCTGCTAATGAGTTTTATTTAGTCCAGGCCATTAGTCAATGCAAGAGTTACTTAGAACAGGATCAGTGCTTTGAACAGAGGATCTCAGAGGAGCCATAGTGGTTGTATGGCCCTCAACAACTTACCATTCACCTGGCAATCTATGGATCAGTCACAGTCCAATTACAGGCACCCTAGCCCTACATAATAAATGGTATGTTAGCTCACAAGCAGAAGATGCTGCCCTGAGGAGGTTACTGTCTAATATGCAACAAAGATGGGGTTGTTACAAAGGACATCTGAAGGAACTGGACAAATAATGTATTTGCTGTTGTGTTAACACGGATTTATTGGTTTTAATGGCATGGTTTAAAAAAGTTTATGCTTGGCTGATTTATTGTATTTTTAATGTGAACCACCTTGCACGCCTTATTGGTTAGAAGGGCTGCATATAAATTTAATAAAGTCAATCAAAAAATCAATCCACTTAACCTTTGTGTTTGATTTTCCTTTTAGCATGCTATTAAACCTTTTTTAACTATGGCCTTGCTAATATTAAATAAGAGAATATTCAAACAGCAAAGACTCAAAAGCAAAGCCAATTTCTAAATCTGAACTTTGGTGGCTGCCTAAGATAAATGTTATATGTAAGGACCTGATCTAGAACTCACTGAAGTCAATGGGTGATATGCAATGCTAGCCATCCCCAGAGTACGTCCATTGAAATCAATAAGCATATAAGCATAAATTACTTTAGTCTATTGATTCCAGTGCTCTTGAGTATGACATAGGTAGCTTTGCCTGCAAAATATGGTTAGTGTCCAGGTTTTTAGTGTGCATTGGTGGAAAAATATGACCAGCATGGATTCCCCGGCCCCAATTTATTTATTTTATCACTTTGTCCTTTATTGATTTTATTGTTTCTGATAGTTACTGAGCTTTTAGGCATAATCATATATTATTGGGAAATATTTATGGTGAATATGTGGCATAAAAATTGCTGCCAAATTATTTTTTCAAGGTTGTTCAAGAGTTCTTAACCAAAAAGTCTCCAGTCTGAAAGTCCTCCAATCATATTCAAATCCTTCCCCACTGAGCATTTTAACAGCTAACATCCTTTTCTAGCAAAGAATAACTTTACCAATCTCCATCTTTCCAGTTCAACATTCCTCCTCCTCCTCCTCCTCCTCCTCCTCTTCTTCTTCTTCTTCTTCTTCTTCTTCTTCTTCTTCTTCTGTGTGACAATTCAATCATTTGAGTTATTTGCTAGCATTTGAAAAACAAATACCTAAATATTTTACTGTTTTAGATCCAGATTTTTTTTGTTTTCTTTCAATATTTTGATTGCCCCTCTAATAAATGAAAAGTCAAGTATTATTTTACTCAAGACCTTGCTAAACTTTCATAATTCCAGGAATGAATTTTCAGGCTTGATACGTATTAAAGCTACCTCATCTGCATTGCTGCAAAGTTTACCTTTATGTTTGCCCATCTTTTGCCCTTTTATTGTAGAGTTATCCTTTCTCTTGCTCAAAAAAAGGTTCCAAATACATTTTGAACAGATATATTTTGTTGCCTGGCACTTCTCTGTAGATTAAATTTAAATGATTATTCACTATTCACAAATATCACATATCCAGTTTCCCAACCATACTTGAAAATACTAACAAATTTACTCCTTTATAAACTGTCTTGCTATACTGTATATCCAACAAGATATGCCTAGCATTCAGGTGCATAGCCCCTCCTCAAACTGAACACTGAACACATCCCAAGTCTAGCATCAACCACAAAATATATCACGACTGCCCACACTTTATTATAGGCAATCTAACTCTATCATGTCCTCCTTTCCTGGGGGTTGCAGGTTAGTTGAGGTTGCTTCTGTTGTTGCCACAATTCTCATTGCTACAGTCAGAGATGCTAAGCTAAAATATTTCTCCATGACACCCTAGCTTTCCATGTGCATGGCACTTCTCATTTTACAAAATGGAACCCTCTCTTCAGCAATAAATGGTGTAGCCCCAAAAAGGCTGTTCCATGCCCATTTTGTGTGCGTTTGAATCTAAAATGAAACTGCGTGTGTTTCTGCCTTGCATGTATACTTTTGTTTAAGTCCTACTTTAGGAAAAAAAAATCTCTAGAGTCAGTTAAAATGACCCCTGCTAAATCACTGGTTTAATAGTACACTGAAAAGTTTCATGGGCTTCGTGGAAGCATTCAAAACAAAACATTTATGTAAACAGAAAATACAAATAATCCAAGATCCAAGGTTAGTAGAAAATAAGCACTACCCTATACTTAACAGTTCAAAAGGCTTGAAAAGAATTCCTGCTTCTAGCAGTAATTTGAAGAAAGCTTCTCAAATAATAGAGACCATTATGCATTTCTTTTTTTTAAAAAAAGTATGATAATAGATTTGTTTTTAAAAGCTTGTGCTTCTTGTTGATTTTTTATGGTTTCCTGCCTGGCTGCCACAAACAAGCAACCACTTTATTTACACAGTGAAACAATGACTTTGTCAGATCCTTTTGTTCTTCAGTTTTGTTATATAGAAATGATTATAGAAAAAGATATTCTCTAATCACGTTTATATACAGAGATTTTTCTAATCTCCATCTTGCTCCTGGATCTCAATGAGAAGCTAGTTACTCTCATTCCTTCCAGTCTTAAATCCAGTTCTTCACATTTCTGCACCATTCCTACACATGCTTACAATGGGGATGTGTATGCCAACTACAGGCAATACAATATATATGGTTGGAGCTCCTCAGGTTAAGCTCACCAAACTTCAAAGTGACCTCCCCTTCAGCATTCTCTACTAATTCATATTAAACAGGCTGTCCTCTTTTTGGCACCAGATTCTCCTTTCAACAAGACTTTATTCCAGTCTTGTCTCTGCACAGTGGTACCTCGGGTTAAGAACTTAATTTGTTCTGAAGGTCTGTTCTTAACCCGAAACCGTTCTTAACCTGAGGCTCGCTTTTGCTAATGGGGCCTCCCATTCTCATCCTGGGGCAAAATTCTCAACCCAAGGTGGTACTTCTGGGTTAGCAGAGTTTGTAACCCGAAATGTTTGTAACCTGAAGTGTTTGTAACCTGAGGTACCACTGTACTAGAAATATTTGTAACCGTTTTGATACATGCACTTGTTTTAAAAGGTTTGCCTTTATTGTTTTCTATATGGAACTGTTTCAAACTGTGTTTGATAATTGTGTGTTTTAATGTTTTGATTCATCCTGAGACCTTGCGGTAAAGGGCAGATAAGAAATCTAATAAATAGTTAGGCCAACACAGGCCTGAGAAGATACACTTCCTTTGGCTTAACTACAATCCTGAAAATTTGAGAAACTATACAAGGTATTTAAAGGAGGAACTATGCAAATTAGTTCCAGAGCTATCTTTGGCTGGATGCACAAATCCTTGCACATACTGTTTAGAGGGGATTAGAAGTATTTTTCACAAAATCAAGGATTTCTATATGAAACTGCAAAAGGAAGCAAAAGGGAGATTGAAATATGCACAAGCTCCTCCTCTCTTTATTCCTTCACTCTGAAGGAATATTTCAGCTGTACAGGTGAAACTAATGGGTTTTCAATGCCTTATCAATTTCCCATCTACAGGGAAGAGATTGACAAATATTCCTCCCACTTTCAGCATTGCTCTTGGAAGCTCTGGTACACAGTTACCTGGGCCCAAGCTGCTGAGGTGAAGCTGATGGATGAGTCAAATGTAATGTCAATTTTCATCCCTATGAAAAGGCTTCTTTGGCCTCCGAGAACAAAACCTGCATCTTGTCAGTTTCACCTTTCCTCTCTACAGCCTTTGTATAAGGCTAAATAGTACTGTGTGCTATTAGTGCTGAACTTTCCAAGACTAGCAGCTGGATGTGCAAACTGCTACTCAAGCAAATAGGGAGACAATCAGCAACAGTTTGAGGAGGTGTAAACATCCATTGGCACGGTTCAGAGTTTCTGTGGACAACTAATCCCACGAGACAAATCACTAAGGGTCTTCAGAAATAAAAGCAACATGTGCCTCACAATATGAGCAAAGAGCTAGAAGGCTGAAATGGAAATTATATAGCACACGGGTATTTTTTTTCTTGTAAAGTTGAAGCAAAATATAAGGCGTCCCCAAGCACTGCAAATACTCCATTATAAGGGTACACGTCCTGAAAAAAGCCTTTGTTTTCATATTAAAAGCGTATGGTCTCTAGAAAAATAACCCATGCTTCTTTTTTTCTCTTTTATTTGAACACCTTTGGCAAATGTATTTTGGCATTGTTGATGAGAGCATATTGTATGAATTGCTATTAAAACATGAATTACTGCTGGGCTCAATATGAATCTGCATGTGTCTTGAGCTTGCTAAAAGGAGATTTGCTTGGATGAAGGTATCTGATGAATTGAAAATGAAGCCTTTTGATTACAAGCCCAATTGTTTGTGATTAGCTTATACACCCAGTGGAAATACACTTTTTATTTACTCCACAGCAGAGTGATATGATGAAAATTTCTGCCTTTGACATTTTTTTTCAAGTCATTTTGCTCAAGTTTCTCTAGGAGAAAGAAAGAGGGACTACTTTTACTCTTTTCTCTGAAGTATTCATGAGTCTTTGGCAAGGAAACTCACTTGCTCATTCCCATGCAGTTCTAGAATGTTGATGGCTGTGGATTTGAAATCTTGTGGTGTCTCTATTGTCACCTGGGAAATCAAGGTCTATGTCAGGCGTATTGAAACCTGCATGTTTGATCAGAGTTGGTGATTGGATGTGGCTGAGCTTGTAGAGCAGGGAGCTTTTCAACTAAATCATTAGGGTGTTTGTAAGATGCTCATCTGACACTGCAGGATTTGGTCGGGGATGAAATCTGTGCTATGCAATTGCAATTCTGCAAAAGATAAACCAAAGGCTATAAACTGGGTCTTATTTTTAAATCACCTCAAAAAAACCAACATTCCAACCCACAGTTTACAAGCTGTGTGAAATTGTTTACATTGCAAGATTTTTAATGAGACATGCAGTGTTATCCAGTCAGTCTCATTTTCAAACTGCAAAATCATTAAAAAAAATAAATGAAACCTTCACTTTGCTTCTGTCTCTTGGGTTTGACTTATAGGTCAGACAAGTCAAATCATATATGTGAAAACTATATACCACGAGGCTATATTAAGGTGAAATCTGTATTTTCTTAATATAACCAATATAATTCAGTAAAGGACAGGATAGGATTTACAGTATCTCAACTCTTTAACATCTGATTATGTTTAAAATAAAATATGCTTAGGCTTACCAAATTTCATCTATGAGTTCTTAAAGAGTCTGACTCTTGGCACATATATATCATTGAGGCCCCAAGATCAGTTCCACATGTATCTCCGATTAAAGGATCTCAGATATAAATCCAGGTGTAAAAAGTTACCTCCCTTAATATTTAACCACAGCTGATTCACCTTCCACCATTATCGCTAAATATTTGTATTTTATTGGTGGTGGCTCCCCATTTGAGGATTGCTCTCCCTTGTGACGTGTGTCAGTCTCCCTCACTGTTAACATTTATGGAAAAATCTAAACACCTGTTTCCCCAAGCATTTGATGGTTGAAAGTCAGGTCTCCGGCAACCCTGACACCATTAGTTTGAGGGTAAGTGATTGCATTTTTTCTAAACTGTTTTTAGAAGGGTTAATTGTGTTGTTTTGGTAGTGACATTTTTGCTGCCTTGGCCTCCTTGGAGGAAGGCAAGGATATGAATGGGTGTGGCCAAGTAACGTAAGAGTCCATATAATTAACTTAGATTGTGTGACCCTTTTCCACCCCCATAGGGAAATTAGAGAAAATGCAGGGGAAATGGGTAGACACAAGAGACCTTTCAAGTTCTTTTCCTAGTCATTGTTTTGGCTTCACATCCACACCATTCATTACATTTTGTCGTGATCCTGGGGCAAAAACTGAAAAAGGGCTTTTGGGGGTTTTTTTTGGTCTTTTTTAAAGGTTTACTCTACTAGCACCTTTTGAATGAAAACACTTCGAAGTGCCTGCAGCTTGATAAAGAGACTCTTGAAAGTTTCAGGATCTGCGCTCACCAGCTGATGCATTTCATAGAGAAAAATCAATCCTCTATATTTCCTTGATGTTTACAAACCATTGTAACCAGAGGCTAATCAATAACTCTGAGCAGTTGGGAAGTACTGTATTAGAAATTTATCTTAAATTTCTGCAGATTCCCCCCCCCCCCCCATCTATAAATAAGTGAAAAGGATACATTGCATCCAAAAGCAATTGCTGCATTACAGTGTACAGTGGTGCCTTGGTTTACGAACTTAATCCGTTCCGGAAGTCCGTTCTTAAACCAAAACTGTTCTTAAACTGAGGTGCACTTTCCCTAATGAGGCCCTTCCACCGTTCGGATTCCGTTCTTAGACCGAGGTAAATTTCTCAAACCAAGACACTATTTCTGGTTTTGCTGAGTTTGTAAACCAAATTGTTCTTAAACTGGACTGTTCTTAAACTGAGGTACCACTGCAATCGTATAACAGGTATTCAGAAATAAGTGCTATTGAGTTCCATGATGCTTTATCCCAAGTGAGTGAGTATAGAACCTTAAAAACTTAAAATAAAAAAATGCAGGGGGGGGGAATCCCACTATAGTATATCCTTTCATATAGGCAACTATCTATTTAATTACATGCATGAAATTTCTTAATGTGTCCCAGCCATGCACTGGGGGATGCAGGCTGTTACCTATGTAACCTACCATATACTGCAAGATGAATGCATCAGTCTTTAGTGCCTCAAAAAAATAGTTTGCTTTTTATTTGTTAAAAAAGGTAATGCCAGCATCTTTTACTTGTTAAGTCCATGCACCATTTATCGTGTAGGGCTAGGATGCCTGTAATTGGGCAGTGGCTTATTCATAGATTGCCAGGTGAATGGTAAGTTCTTGAGGGCCAAACATATGGCTCCTCTAATACGCTCCATCCAAAACACTGATGCTGTTCTCTTGCATTGACTAATGGCCTGGATTGCGTAAAACTCATTAAGAGGAAGGAGAATTTTGTAATGCTAAATTTGTGGCCAGAAAGATGTGCCCATTAGACTGCTTATATTTGTGGAACTGGCCATTTTATAAGTGCCATATGGAATCATAGAATTGGAAGGGACCACAAGGGTCATTTGGTCCAATTGTTTCCTCCATACTTGCAACAACTTGATCGTTTAGTCTGGCGGCACCTACAGTTCAGAACTCCCTGCCCATTGATAGTAGGCAGGTCCTTCAGTGTATTGTGTTTGGTGCCTGCTAAGTACCTTTTCGTTCCAGCAAGCCTAGCGAGGCATGCAATTTTTGATTGATTTTATTTCATATTTTTTCATGTTGATTTTATTTTTATTGATATTTTAATGAATATTATATATAGTGTGTTGTAAAGTGCTTATAGCTCTTTTGTTTTGTACAGTAAGCCCACAAACTGTGTGCATTTAAATTATGTGCATTCAGCTTTACACATGGCAAAAGATAGAATAAAAAATTATATTTTAAAAAATGGAA